GTACATGATAAATAGGCTGGATGCCAGCACAAAAAATTATTAATCATTCGATTAACGTAGAATCAAAAATGTACGTGCATCATATTACAAATCAACAGACACCACATTGATGTTGCTTTAATCTTAACTAATATAAAGGATCTCGTGGAAGTTTCAAACAATCCTAATAGAAGAATGGCAATTCCTTAAGCAAAAATATTAGGCGCAGTTAGGAATTTCATAGCGCTTAAAGTTATAAGGCTCAATAAAATTAGTACTTGCATGCTACTTCCAATGAAAAGTAAAACTAAAAATAGCATCATACTTCTACTCCTGACTTCAAATCAATATCGTCAATTAAAGCTTTTTTTAACTTGCATTATTATTTTGAACACAATATGTTCATAAATATTTAAATTTAAAAGCATGAGCCTTCTTCACATATCTACTACCCAATACCCTTGCTGAGAATTGAGATGGTGGCATTAAAGTGAGTTGCATGCAACTGCTATACCTATACAAAGCAGTAAAAGCTCCATTCAACTATTCGATGTGGGTAAAACATATAGGCAGGTGAACTAAAAACATAGTGCCTGTACTTGCTAAAGATGGGTAGGACAATCCTACCATCATATATATATCGAGATACTATTTTAAAATAGCAAATTTCAAATAAGTGCTATAATGCATGCAATATAGGTGTTATTGCTTTGCTACATAACAAAAACTATCTCATTACATAAAATATAATTAAAACTAATACACACGCGAGCACACATGCACATGAGTCATCGAGTGTAAATTAAAGGTAAGGTGCTTAAGTAATTATCCAAAGCTTTTAAATTAAATCCTCCTAACCATCAAGCACAAAAAATAATGATTAAATACATATAACTAACAGTCAAGGAATCAGTCATCAAATATTTAATGAATATTATATATAAATAGCTAAAATATAAAGATGCATGAAAAGGAAGTAAGGAGATGGAGAATTAGGCATGAATACGATGTGAAAGCTAAACATACCTATCTTTAGAGTTTAAATATAATTAAATATAACAGTAGCAACATTGACTTGGGTACCTCTTTCAAAGTCTTGACAATCAACAAGGTGGGTATCCAACAGACAGCTCACACTCATGATCACGTCATCTTATTTGGCCTGAAAATCAATATTTGGAAATGGCAATTGCCTGTCCTTATTGTTCATCAAACCCTTTCCTACTTTCTACACCTCAATCCTCATTTGCAAATTAGTGATATAGATAATGGCATCATCGAGTAAAGATGCCTTGTCAATTTTTAGATATGCTAGGAATGATAGATCTTAAGGCATAAAACCTCTCATTAAGTTTCTCACATTTATGTCTCTTTGCTTCAACATGATTCAGGGGTTCCTTTCTATTTTTGGCAGGTTTTCTCCCTTTTTTCCAGGCTTTAGTTCATCTATATGAGGTAAAAAGTCTTCATTACTAAGGTCTAGAAAAGATGCCCTTGCTTGAGTATTGAAATTCTTACCAATTATTTGATTTAGTTGCAAGAACAATTTTAGTTTGTTACTATCTACTATACTCCCATTGGAAAAATTCCCAAATGCATGGTTAGGCCTTAGTGCTTGTACCTCACAAGAGTCTCAAGTGAAACCAAAATCATCTTCTATCTTTTGGGAGAAACTGATAGTTATGGACTAAGATTTTACACCCTTAAGGCTTTGCGCATGATTAGAATCTTGGGATACACCTTAGTTTGTCCAAAATTAGGTTCTCCAAAGGTTGTTCTAATTTAAATGTAACAATAGCAATATTGAGAAGGAATTCTCAAGCAATTTCAAGGCTTTTTGCATGCTTTTTGAATTTTTAGGACTTAAACAGACATGATTATGATATTAATCAATAGACACCACATGACATATCCACACACCTCTCCCTATAACAATCTTCCACCACAATATTGACGAAGATGATTTAAGTGTAACTGTACCGTCAACATTTAAGAAACAAGAACCTTCTACACAATAAGCTTCATGGCTCCCCGCTATTGTAGACCAGAAAGAGATAACACCTATGCCAATACTCTACAATAGGGGACACGAGATGCAAGACAACCCAAAAAATACTATTTAAATGTGGAATAAGAAGAATCAAATGCGACAATACCATAGAGAAGCACGATCATTGATCGAACCAACCAATATTAAAAGTTAAAGTCCACAAGAGATCTATAGCGCAGAGAACTAGAAGCACATGAGCATGGTAAGAACCCTAAAATATGATGAGAAAACTGTCCGCGATAAAACTCTACACACACACCCCATAAATAAGCAGAACACATCAAAACCCACTTTCAAATTTTTCCTATAATGGTGCACTCGGCCAATGCCCAGGGAAAAAATTTGAAATATGCCAAAGCCCACCAAATGATCCACCACTCTCTCTCTACACTACATATTAAGAAATTGAAATAAAATAAACAAGATTATTAATTAAATAATCACACTAAACAATCTATAAGTAGGCAAAAATCGACAAAGGTTAAGGTGTTGGATGATAAGAATTACATTGACATTTTTCATAACATTTAGGGAAAACAAAATTCACATGCAACATTAGAAAAATAGTGTTCAAACAGGTGAAATCACAATAGTGAACAATGCCATTAATGAGGGAGGGGCGCGAACCTCCATTACTTTTCAGCGGCCATTCTTGGCATGACAAAAAAAAGGAAAGGGGTTTCATACATAAAAAGCCAAGCAAGGACCCACTCTTTTAAAAGAGGAATTGAAGAGGCCGAGGTGGAATTGATATAGGTATATTGAAGCTTACGTGGATGACACTATTTATATACTATTCAATGGACCATCCTAAGTAGACATAGATTATAGATAATGGTATTGAAATACAATTGGCACTTTGGATAATTACATAAAAGCCCCACGAATTGAATTAAAGGTGGCGATCTTGGCTAATATGAGCTAGGCCTTGAAGCTTAATTTCCTTAAAAATGTTGCATTTTTTAGGCCTCACCCTGATTCAAATGGCTCGATGGCGGGCCCATAAGCCTTTTTTAAAAACTTAAAAAAATAAAATATTGTAAAATTAAAAGTAAACCATACAATTAAAGGTAATCCAATTCAGAAAACCATGAAGAAAATTTCTATAGCAACTAGCAGGGCAAATTAGGAAAAAAAATCAAAGCAGTAAGATGTCACGAACAAATTCTAAGCAGGAAAAAATTATGAACTACTAGTGGTAATAAAAAATTGTGAGGGACTAAGAGTGATAAAAAAAAATAACAATAATCTAACCAATTTAAAGTCGATATTGAGAACCAAAACTTCAAAAGCTAAGATCAAGATAGTCAAATAGAGGCACTTGAAGGTAAAGGATGAGATTAAGAATGTGAGAACTAGGAGTTGAGAGCCTGGGATTAAGCTAGTGACTGAGTGCAGTAAGATCGAGAGGCAGTTGAAGATTAGCAATTCAGAGGTGAGATTGAGATAGGTGAAAGGATGTAGAGGAAGCGATCGATATCAAAAGGACAAAACCACCTCAATGCCATAAGTCCATGACTTATTGACATGCTGTTGCCAAGATCACTATGAGGGAGGAGTGGGAGAGGTTAGAGGAGAGCATTATTTGCGTGGACTCGAGTAGTCTAATATGAAGGAGCATTATGAAGCTAAGAGTGACTGACCAAGCACCTGAAGCCATAAGACGCCACCCATAAAGAGATGAGAGATCGCAAGAGTCGAGAACGGGGAGGCAGAGTTGAGCTAAGTGAATGAAGGGCTTAAGGTTTTTTAGGCCATTTTCATACGACGCGTTTTAAGGAGGGACGATTAAAACACCGTCTAGGTTCAACACTATTTTTTAAGGCTTATTAACATTAGGCTTTGAAACTCAATTGCTAAAAAAAACTAATTTTTCAAGCACGAATCTTTATTTTTGACGGGCTTAAATAAATGGCCCACTAAACCTGATTCTTATTCCTATCATAGATTGAACAATCAGGATCAAAGAGATGAGACCATATTTGTTTTGATGGAATGGGCTAGGTGGAGTGGGAACGGAGGAGAGATTGATAAAATTTGAGTGTTTGATAGGATTGAAGCCATTGGTAAGGATTAGCCCGTGACCTCAAACAAAGTAATAAGTAATCCTTTACTAAATCATGGGAATGGAGGTCATTCCATAAGAATGAATATTCTAGATAAAAGTGACCCTAATTATTAATTTTAAGGATGAGATCATCCTTTTATTTTTGCCCCAATACCTCTCTTGCTTTTGCCTCACACAATCACCTTTTGGCTCCGACTCTCCCCCTTGGCCATCATTCCCTCACATTCACCTCACCCCTTCATTGCTATCAAAGATCTTTGCCGCCCTTATTCCTCCCTTTGTCAATTTTGTTCCTCTAATTTGTTGCCGTTATTGAGTTGCCTTTGTTGCTGCTTATTGTTGAGATCTTCTACCGTACCACTAGTGATCGTGACGAGCTTGTGGGAGAAGAAGTTTGTGGATACAACATGGTGAGGAGGGGTGGCGCCTTCATTTGTCTTTTTGATGTTGTCGTCTTCACAAAAGAATATCTTTTTGGGCCACCCTAAAAGCAAAACACAAAGTTCCGGATTTATGGTTTTCAATTTGGGGTTTTGTAGAAGACGTTGTTGATTGTCTTCAATTTGTAGATTTTAACAATGGTTGATTATTTTTTACCTGGGGTTTAGGTTTTTTGTGCTTTTGTTAATTGTTTTTATATTTGGGATTTTGATTATTTGTGCGTGGATCACTATTTTTTTATTTGGAACTTTAATTCTGGATAGATGATGATGGATGGTTGCTGTCACCAGGTTCACCAACTTTTTTTTAAAGAAATAAAGATAAAATGGTATTTTGTCATTATAATTATAAATATTAAATAAAGCAATTTTAACCATTTTCATCACATATCTAACATATTTTTTACTCCCATTTCCATTTCCATTATTATTCCTATACATATTCCTATCCCTATCCCAATAAAAATCAATCCAGGTGCCAGACGAGGCCTGAAGGGAAAAAGGATAGAGGAGAAGGAGAGAGCCCCGTGCTCCGCTAAACACAGTGGTTATTTGACAAAAGTGGTAAACAAGGCAACGAAGCCGCTTGGGGAAACGGACGAACCTCTTGACGACGTCGTTGTCGATATCGTCCTGTTGCCCGGGGCGCGCGGTTGGGAGGAATTTCAAGCCAACATCGAAGCCTAGAAGTCCAAATTAATTAGTTTGCAACTTTGCTTTGAAGCCTCACGGTGTTACATTCTTGTGTGAAGATGCAAGGTTGAAGTGCTAGATTGAATTAACAAAAATATATAATTTCAAAAGATTAAGGAGCCACTCGATCCTGAAGATTTCATACTGAAAGTTGAATATGGTGAGATCATGTTAGGTTTACAAAAAAAAATTCTCATTCATACTCATTTCCGTGATACCTTCATCGTTCTCGTCATTGTCTGCATGGATTTGCACGAGTTTTATTTTTCTGTTAAAACTTTGTTTTATTTTCTCAGTTCTCTATTGCGGCTATCAATGATACGGACTCCAGAAGTCGGTGGGAACCACTTGCTCCAACAAAGGAAGCCCAGGTATGCCATTCCTTTCTGCTTTATTTGGTTGTAGATGATATTTCTGAAACTTGATGCCAACAAGAAAAAGGGAAGACTGTCGTCTGCAAGTTGTGTCACGAGCATTCCCAACATTTCCCCCTGTTGTTTCAGGAATTTCATCTGTCTCAAACTTATCATGAAGGACTTCTTAAGCTACAATCAAAAGAATATGAAAAGGCTCGGGAGCTTTTAGAATGTGTTCTCAAAGATCCTCTTATAGCTAATGCGCAAGTACATTTTTTTCCTTTCACAAACATTTTATTTATTGGGGTGTCCCACTTTTATTTTGAAATAATAATTTGACGCGTTTTTCCTTGTCAGGTGGATGGCAGTGCCAGTGATGATCATATTTTGCAACTCAGGTTTTGACCGTTTTGTTCCTTGTTAATGCAGATTTTATATTTACTGTTCTGTTATTTTATCACGCTTCTGTGATCTCCTCTATCAAAATTCAGAGTATTCTACATGATGCCTATTTTCCCCTTTATAACACATGTTCCCTGCCAGTCTTCCATGTGGCAGATTTACCCTGCTCACATCTGCTTATCTGGTTTTTTGTGCAATCCTCCATATTCTGATCTGATTGTAATCAAAACGTTTATTATTACGTAACTATGGATAGCAGATACAAGCCCTGCATTGCTTTAGTCTAGTCGTAGCGATCAGGACTTTTCTAATTGGGATTAGTAGGCTTTTTATTGTGGAATTTATGCTGACTAATAAGCTAGGTCTATTCCTTTCCAGTTTGCTGATTTGTGTTCACTTAAAATTACATTAGTGGTACTTATAGTTGTATTTACAGGTTTTTGGCATTGAAGAACCTAGCCTCCGTTTTTCTTCAGCAAGGTTCTGCTCATTATGAGAATGCACTCCATTGTTATCTTCAAGCTGTGGATATTGACTCTAAAGATTCTGTTGTCTGGAACCAACTGGGAACATTGTCATGCTCAATGGGTGTATTGAGTATTTCACGGTGGGCATTTGAGCAAGGCCTTGTGTGTAGCCCTAATAACTGTAAGTACTTAACTATCCTTTATTCTTTTATTTATGCCATGCTTAATGCATGTTAATTTTCCCCTGCATGTACTTGTGTTGGGTTTTCCCTTCTCTTTCTTCATCATGAGTTCCTCTTGAATGTGCCCCTGGGGGGGTTTTTTTTGTTTCTGTCTAGTATTTATGCATCTGGTTTTTCACCCCTGGCTGTGTCTTCAGGGAATTGCATGGAAAAACTTTTGGAAGTTCTTATCGCTATTGGCGATGAGGTTGCATGCCTTTCTGTTGCAGAATTAATTCTGAGGCATTGGCCATCACATTCTCGTGCTTTGTATGTTAAAAACACCATTGAAGAGTCAGAACCGTTGCCATTTGCTCCTAGAGGCATAGACAAGCTGCAACCTAAACATGTACGGCTTAAATTTCCAAACAAGAGAAAGGCTACTGATGAAAATCTGGATGAGGTTGTTGCATTTAAGAAACTGAACCAGAATGTAGAAATTCACCTAACAGAAGCTTCCTGGGTGGCTCTTGCTGATGCACTGCTGGATATCTTATTTCCATTGAATGCTCAAAGTTCTGATACAGAGCATGAAAAAGCAAGCAAATCTGGGGACATCAGATTGAGCATGTTCATATCCTGTTCAGAAAATGGTATGAACTCTGTGATTGGGAAAGGGCCTAGTGGTGACAATATTGCTTTTGGTGATGGTAACATAGAAAGCCCAGGTGCCCTTAAAGGAAAGGAAGCAAATTCCCAAGAAGAACAACCACATGAGAGGCGAAGTTCTCGTTTAGAAAGGCTCAGGAGTCGTAAACCAGGGAAAGAAGAATCAGATTCTTCATGTGGCAAGGACCATGCTCGGGTTGTCAGTCAATATCTAGAATCTTTTGTTTCTGGTGAATTGGTTGGCAGAGATTCTCTTGATACTTCTACAACATCCAAGACAGTAGATATTGAATCAAATGAAGTTTCTAGATTTGTAAGAGAAACCTCACAAAACTATGGTGCTTACCACGTGGGACACCTGCTTTTAGAGAAAATTGCAAGACAAAGCCTTAGGTATCAAGATGCATTTGTCAAATTCCTGGAGTTGGAGAAATTGACAAGGCATTGGGGAAAGGAAAGAACTGCTGAATGTAACCTTTTTCTTGCGGAACTGTATTATGACCTGGGGTTGTGCTCTCCCTGTGGTTCTGAGCAGTCAAAGTTTATGTCAGACTCATCTTATCATCTCTGTAAGATCATAGAGTCTATAGCTCTAGACTATCCTTTTCACTTGACTCATGAGTTGAAGAAGGAAGGTTGTTCTTTGGCTACCATTGCCTCTGTCGACGATAATTCAGACAGCTCACTTCTAATGGAAAACAATTCTTTTTGGGTTCGATTCTTCTGGTTGAGTGGGAGATTGTCTAATTTTGATGGTGACAAGGCAAAAGCTTGCGAAGAATTATGCACTTGTTTGTCACTCTTGGCAAAGAGGCAAAGTTTGAACGATTCCCTATGTAAAGTTTGCTGCCCACATTGTAAGATTATAAAAGAGCTAAGCATTGATAGAGTTCTTTATGAAATTAATATATTAAAGGTCAATTTCTTGATGGAGAAATCAGTCAATAAGTTGGTTGAAAGAGAAATGTATTCAGAGTGTGTACCCTTGCTTTCTCCACTTCTCTTCTCTACAAAGGATGTCTACATTGATTCATTGTCTTTAACTGTAGCGGATAAAAAAGATGAAAAGATAACCTCAGTTGAACTAATGGCTCTAGATGTTCTAATAGAAGCATGTCAGAAGTCAAAGCCAATGGATATGGAGCTCTATTTAAATTGTCATCATAGAAAGTTGCAAATACTGATGGCTATTGCAGGGCTGAATATGTGTACTACATCATTTAAATCTTCCCATCAAACTCTAGGCATTAGTACTCCTCCTAATGTTGATACTGCTTCAAAGGAAGGTTCAAGTAAGCACTGTAGTCTATTGGTTGCCGAGGAAGTAAAAGAACTCTCTGACTGTGTCTCAAAAGTGAAGAAAGTTATTGATCAATGTAGAGATTCTGTAAGTAAATGTAATTGTTTCAGTACTCTTGGATCATTGACGTGAAGTGTGTTTCTTGATTATCATTTCCCAGTTCAATTGTAAAGAAAGTTTATACACTACAGTATTGTGATACTCTCTTAATCGTCTGGTTGTTGAAACCAATTGATTTTTGCACTTGACTTTTCCATTGTTGATTTTAATATTTATGTAATTATTAAATGTTACTTACTATTACCTTGTTCCCTTAATCCTTGAACATCCACATGTCATTGTGGTTCCAAAGCTTTCCCTTGGCATGTGAAAACAAAAGGGAGAATGACAGATAGGTCCCAAGGGGACCAATTAATTCAAAATAAGTCCCAAAGTGCCTCACTTTAGGAATTTGCAAGTTCGGCTCTCAATTTTACAATTTCGTTGTGATGATTTTTTTTCAAATTTTAACATGGTTGAAAAATAAACAAATTTGTTTTTTCTTATTAAAATTTGAAACACAAGTTGCAAATTCATCACAAAGAAATTGTAAAATTAAAAGCCGAATTTGCAAATTCTTGAAGTTTGGCACTTCGGGACTTAGCTTGAATTAATTGATTCCTTTGGGGCCTATTTGTCATTCTCCCAAACAACGTGCTCATCCTGCTGCCTATCTTACGGTATTTGGCTCTTTGTATTTTTAGGGGTATTAGGTTTCTTTTTCTTCCAAAAAATGAAATTACCTGAATGTCTTCATTGACATACTAAGAATAGAATCACAATCTCATGTTGGAGATTAACATCATCTTGGTTGCTGTTGTTGTCATATTTAGAATAAAGTTATAGTTCATGCTATACAGATGTTATTGAAAATAAATTGGGGAGGTTTACACATATTCATTAGTGTTAGAGTAGCCAAGTATAATTTTTTTTTAAGGAGATGGTTTTCAAGTATGATTTTCCTAAACCCCTGTGGAGGTCAATGTAATTTATTCTAATTTTTCCTCTTAAGTTTATGGGGACAATGTTTTTCAGTGAGATTTTTCTTCTTCATCAAGCAAAATGTGGGATGAGGGTTAGTCAATGATTTATATGTAATTTGTAGTAGTTTATTTATTTTTAGTTCTTTTTCTCCTTTGTTAAAGTTTTTTCCTTTAATGCTGGCCAAAAAAGTTTTTGCCTTTAATTATTTACTGTTTTCAGGTTTGCTGATTTTTTTTGTTAATAGACAAATGAAAATGTGTTGAGTCTCGTATAGTCTGCAATACGATCAGCTATCCAAATTATCCACTTATTTTCACCCTTTGTTTGTGGGATTGACGAATGATGAATTTTACTGTGCTACTTGACTTTTTTTCCAGACGACATATGCAGCTAACTCCTGAATTTGTTTCTCCTTTTGAATCTTATATATTGGCACGGGCATCCATTTAAAGGCCCCCCTTCCATGAATGATTTTACACAACTTTTATTCTTAATTATGCTCACAGCAAATTTGTGTATCATAATTTTGAGGTCTTTAATGTAGATTCTGGGAAGTTGGTTTTGCTGACACACCTTTTGTTACTTCAATACTTTTAACAATGGAATGTCATTTGTAGTGAAAACGTTTTGTCTTAATTCTTATGCCTGCAGAATGGCATTATTGGTCCAATAAGCAGTATTTGTCAGATTCAATCTCTGCTCCAGTCAGTCATGAGCTATTTTGCGAACATACTTGTCTGCGACAAAGCCCCTGGAGTGGTGATTTCTGATCAAGCTGAGAGCAGCTGTTTTGTTGATGCAGCCATTGTATTTTGTAAACTTCAGCATTTTAACCCAAATGTACCTATTAAAACTCAGGTGAACTATTCCCTTCTAGGAAGATCTTAACTTGTAATAAAAGTGATCTTACTGATTCTGGTTTATATAGCACTTCTAATCTTCTTACCTGAAAGCTGATCTCAGGTTGATTTAATTGTTGCAATACATGACTTGCTTGCTGAGTATGGGCTTTGCTGTGCGGGTGAAGGTGGCAAAGGTGAAGAAGGAACATTTCTTAGATTTGCAATAAAGCATCTATTGATCTTGGATATGAGGCTTAAATCCAGCTTTAACCCTAAAAAGAAAGAGCTAATGCAGCGGGATGAGAAGGCATCCCAAAACAACGTTGTTAATGTGTCTGCAGAAGAATTGAAGACTTATAAATTAGATCTTCAGAAAGATTGGGCCAAAATAGGTGAAATGGGATCTGAGGAGAAGGATGATCATGAAGGAATAATATCCAAGGGCATTTTATCCCACAAAATCCATAATAAAGACAGTAAGAAGGTAGAGGGTGACAATCTTGGAGATGCAGGGTCTGAAAGTAAGCTAAGCAAAAGCGAAATGGTAAGCAATCCTTTGATTGAATGTGGTAATGAGCTTACCGAAGATGAAAGGGAAGAACTTGAGTCAAAAATTGACAATGCCTTAGATCAGTGCTTTTTCTGCTTATATGGATTAAATCTGCGATCTGATTCATCTTATGAAGATGATATAGTGATGCACAAAAATACAAGCCGGGGAGACTATCAGACCAAGGAACAGTGTGCTGATGTTTTCAAGTATGTTCTTCCCTATGCAAAAGCATCGTCTGTGAGTACTCTAATGTCTTTCTGCGTATCATATTTGTATATTACTGCTTGTCCATAGAATTCTGTACGGACTACAGACTACAGAAACATGCATTTCCAATTTTCTGGTGATAAAATTTGTTTGCATCAGAGAACTGGATTAGTGAAGCTTCGAAGAGTTTTGAGAGCTATTAGGAAGCATTTCCTGCAGCCACCAGAAGATGTCTTGGCTGGAAACCCCATAGACAAGTTCTTAGATGATTCTGATCTATGTGAAGATAAACTCTCAGATGAGGCTGGGTCAAATGGATTCCTGGAAACTATTACTAGGATCATTTTTCCTGATGCAGGAGGTCTCACACAGTATAACACATTATTATGTGGGAGGTATATTTGCATACCATACTGTGGATGCTATATCATCCATTAATTTGTACTTATACCCATCGTTCAGTATATATCCTTTTTCTTTGTTTTATCTCTTTGAAGTGACATTAGTATATTTGGACATTCAGGTCCGAACCGTATTTGGAGGTCTATTGTAACTTGTATTATTTCCTTGGTCTGTCTGAGGAAATGAGTGCAACAGATAAATGGCCTGGCTTTGTATTGACCAAGGAAGGGGAAGAATTCGTTGAACAAAATGCCAACCTTTTCAAATATGATTTAATGTATAATCCTCTTCGCTTTGAAAGTTGGCAGCGTCTTGCAAACATTTATGATGAGGTGAATTGTGGTTACTGTAAAAACAATGAGTTGGGTTTCTTTGTCTGTTATCCGTGGTTGTGTTTCTTAATATTCTTTTAGATGTGCTGATTCAGGAAGTAGATTTGCTGCTGAATGATGGTAGCAAACACATTAATGTAGCAGGATGGAGGAAGAATACTACTTTACCCCAAAGAGTGGAAACAAGTCGTAGGAGGAGTAGACGGTGCCTGCTAATGAGCTTAGCTCTGGCAAAGACATCTGATCAGCAGGTTTTTCCTAGCACGTGTGTTTTTAAAGTGACCCTTTCTAAGTTCCACTTCAAAAACATTATGCCTAGAACAAACTCAATAGCCATTGACGAGATCATTAAATGAGACATGAAATTTTAATTTCACTAGTTCACAAAGCTAATTCTGCTGAAGCTGACTCCTGTTTTCCTTTTGATAATTCCTTATCCTCTTCAAACCTGTAAATCTTGGGTTATCAGGAATATGAGCTACATGCCTACACCATGTTGAAAGAATAGATTTCATTGGCCCGAAAATCGAAAAGCTAGATCATATTAATGAAAGATTTAGATGTCTTATTTGTTTAAGCACATGACACCATGCTGTAGGTCTTTGCTTTGTCTGATCTTACATAAGGAAGCTTTGTAATGTATCGTGGCACCATCTTGGATGCATTCCCAAAATAGCCAGTAGTTTAGCACTATTCTAGCAATGGTTTGCCAGATAGTGAGAGCATCATGTCACAGGATTATTACTCTCTTTTCAAAAAGCTAGTTTAGTGGGGTGTGCAGCGCACCTATTTACATGGCTAAATCCTCCCCAAGTCCCTCCAATGTGGGACATAACAACTCCCCAGGCCAATTTGTTATGCCCTTGTCATGAGTGGCCTACCGAAAGGGCCTATTGACTTGACAAACTCAGGCTTGGCTTTGATATCACTTTGTTATGGGATCATTTCTTTCCAAAAAGCTAGTTCAGTGGGGTGTATAGCATACCTACTTATATGGCTCGAACTCTCCCCAGGTCTCGTAGACGTGGGACATAACAAACAGCCTTGATTACAGCACCCAGCTGCACACACACACACACACACACACACAAAATGAGCAGTCAGGATGAAAGCAAAGCAATCTGTTTCCAAGAATCAAAACAGAGCAACAACATTGATTTGTTTTTGTATGCAATTAGAAAAATTATTTTCTTCAATCAATAACCTGTTTCAGTGACACTGTAATTGGATCCATCTACTCCAAGAATTCACAGAAAATAAAGCCCTGTCAACCTTTGCAATTCAAATCCAATCATATATCACAGCATTCAAGGGATCACCCTTTATGTTTGCTCAGCCAATTCTTCTCCTCAAATTCTCATTTTTCATTCATTCAGCACCCTATTACTGACAATTCCTTTTCTTTCCTAATTTCCATATTTTTAACCACGTGCTGCTTTCTTTTCCAAGCATGCAACCCTCGATTTTCCCACTTCTATCCATGTGGTTATGGATCTGCACCTTTATATGCTTGCAATGCTAATTTCATATAAAAGAAATAAAGTATACTATGAAAACCTAAGCATATCCACAGTCATAGTTATCTTGATAAAATAAATGGGATCTGTTTTTAACTATTTGCATCAACTTATTTTTGCTACAGTGTGAAATACATGAGTTATTGGCGTTGGTATACTATGACAGCCTCCAAAATGTCGTGCCTTTTTATGATCAGAGGTCTGTTTTGCCTTCAAAGGATGCAGCATGGATGATGTTTTGTGAAAACTCAATGAAACATTTTAAGAAGGCCTTTGCACTTAAGTATATTCCCTTTTCTCTTGTGGTGTTATCTTTTTGCATCATTCTACTTCTTTATGTTTTAAATGATTCAATTCTTCGTGCAGACAAGATTGGTTGCATGCATTTTACTTGGGCAAACTTAGTGAAAAACTTGGATATTCACATGAAACCTCATTATCATATTACAACAAAGCTATTTCATTGAATACGTCAGCTGTAGATCCTGTCTACAGAATGCATGCCTCACGCCTGAAGCTACTCTTTAAGTATGGAAAACAAAGTTTGGAGATTCTTAAGGTTCCCCCCCTTCCGTGATCATTTATTTATCTTTTTATCATTTGATGTGAGTTTCATGTCTTCATGCTGTGAATTTATACTAATTTCAGCAATTTTATATACTTATATCTTCTTTCTCATTATTCAGTGTCTAACATAATTCGAAGTTAAACCTTTTTATTTCTAAGTTGACATGATTCTCATTTGGATCAATTTTTGGTCTTTAATAGGTTCTTTCAGCACACTCTTTTAATCAATCTGCAAAAGAAGCTGTCATTAATATCCTCAGTGACATGGATGAATCATTAACAAGTGCAAAGGAAAAATGTGTACAAGTCAATTCTGTGGAGATAAGGCATGAAGGACTGCTCAAATTGGATAGGGCATGGTCCATTCTTTACAATGACTGCCTCTCTGCCCTTGAGACTTGTGTGGAGGGGGATCTTAAACATTTCCACAAGGCCAGATACATGCTGGCTATAGGGATTTATAAAAGGGGTGACAGTGGTGATATAGAGAGGGCAAAAGATCAGCTATCTTTCTGCTTCAAGTCATCACGTTCTTCCTTTACAATAAATATGTGGGAAATTGATAGCATGGTAAAAAAAGGAAGGTATAGCTTTATACTTATTTGTTTTCCTTTCTAACTTTGTTTGTTGGTTGTAGAAGAGATTGAATGTTATTGAACTTGGTGGCTTGCCTTTTAGCCTTGCTAAGAAAGAGCACAGGTTGCTGTTATTAGCAACTAACCTATTTGCATTATTTATATCAGGCGAAAAACACCAAGTTCTGCTGGGAACAAGAAAGCCCTTGAGGTTAATTTGCCAGAAAGTTCACGGAAGTTTATTACTTGCATCCGTAAGTATGTGCTGTTTTATCTCAAGCTTCTGGAGGAAACTGGAGATAGATGTACTCTAGAGCGTGCATATAATTCTCTTCGGGCAGATAAGAGGGTAAATCCCAAAAGCCTACTGTATTACTTTAACATAGGTTATACATCAACAAATAATAAATTCTGTTTAATTGATGCTTCAATTATTTCTGTGGAAGTCCTTAAGGCAATAATTACTTCACTTGATGATTCTGAGTCGTTTGATCTAAGAGCCAGGAAAATGGAAGGATTAATTAGTTTAAGCTTAGAGGTCAGATCAGGGTGATGGAAGTTCACTGTTGTTCATATGTAACTAGAATTTTGGCATATGAGGAAGAGATTTTTCATGAGCACATTTTAAAGGGTTTGCTGCCAGATTCTCTGAAATAAAGCAGAGTAATATTAAGGAGCAACCTACTGCAGTTCACTTCCAGTTCTTAATCGGGCATGCAAATCAAGGATCCCTTTTTGCAACCACTCTGTATTCTGAAGTAGACCAATTTTTCAGATTATCATAACTTTTGCTAAGAACAAGGATGGACTTACAATTGGACTACCACTAAGCCAAGATTGTTTAATGAATTTCACTGCTTAGCACTGAGCTACTGTTTAATTGGTGGCAATCTCTATCCAAGTGTGCTAAACATCAGAGGTTGATTTTCTCTTGAAAGAAATTTCTGGAGGACGACCTAACCCAATCTAGCAAATGCAGCATTCTTACCGGCCCATCATCTCCAATAGAACAATAGAATCAATAATACGTGCATGTGTGTGTGCGTGTGTAACTATTTTAAGCATTTTACCAACAGTTTTTGGAGTTAATATTTTCCTCTTTCAGTTTGTAGCCCCATAGCTACTAGTACTATTCCTATCCCTGGAGGGAACCGAAAGAAAAGGAAGAAAAGAAAATGAAAACTTTCATAGATGCTTTAGTAATGCACAAGTTGTCCCCCAGCTTAATTTCTTCTGCCAAATTAGCATATTACGCACACAGCCCTCACAGTATCATAACCTGACTTGATTTGTCTTTTAATTCCCACCATGAATGCAGTTTTCTTTATGTATTGAAGATCTTGTGCCAGTGGCCATTGGAAGGTATGTAAAGGCTCTGATTTCAACTATGCATCATTCTCAGACTGCTGGCTCCCGTTCAGCAGGCTGTTTTGACCATGTGCTTGAGAGGCTGTTTACTTTGTTCATGGAGCAAGGGAATTTATGGCCAGAGATATGCTGCTTGCCTGAAATTAAGAGCCCGGATACATCTGAGAGTATTTTGTATGGGTAATCAACTTAAAAACTAATATGATTTATTGTTTTCCTATAAATCCTGAATTTGTGAATCTTGTTGAAGCTTGTCTAATTGATTTACAAGTCTGTAATAGAATAGAAGTGGAAAAGAGAGGGAAAGCGAGAGATGCAGGGGAGAGAGAAAAAGAGAGATAGAGGAAAAGGAAGCAGAGAGGGACGAGAGAACAGGGAAACAATAAACTGAATACCACTTCTGTATTTAGATCAAAGTTATTTCAGGTGGTCGTTACATCTCTTTTTTATAGGCACTCTCACTCCTAATAAGCTATCTCTAACAGTTATAGTCCCAACTACTCCCAAGTAGCTACTTTTATTTATTACAGCATCATATCAGAGTCATTCATATCTATATGTCAATGGAAATTCAATATGTCTAACACATATCATCTTATCCTTTCAGATATCTTCACGAATATATCGTGTCATTAGAAGAAAATGGAAGACTGGAAACTCTTGAAGCAATAAATGAGAAAATTCGCAAACGTTTCAAAAACCCAAAGTTGGCGAACAGTAATTGTGCAAAAGTTTTCAGGCATGCTTCTGCTGCATGGTGCCGATGTCTTGTATATAACTTGTCGCAGATCACTCAATTATCAAGTGAATTCTCACACGAGAACAAGGCCCTTCTTTTGACAGAAGGTGGTATGGACAACAGCCAGTTGCTGTGTGTTGATCTGCAGACACATGAATTATGGAGTACAGCTCTTGAAGAACCAATTCACCAAGAAAAAATTGAAAAAAAATGGAGTGCCATTTTATCAAAAATCAAGAATACAGTTATCAAGAAAGCTTTTGATGATAATTTGGAGGCTGCAAACACTTTGCTCAGAGCCTCCTACAATTTTTACCGTGAGAGTTCTTCTGTATTTATTGGCTCTGGTGTCAAGCTTTATCTAATTCCACCTCAATTGGCAACTGAAGCACAGTTCCACCCAAGTATGCATGGGATTGAAGCGCTTGATCTTAGCATCCCAAGGAAGCTTCTCTTGTGGGCTTTTGCACTATTGTATGGTCGCAGTGCTAATATCTCAGTTGTTGTAAAGCATTGTGAAGAAATTACAAAGGTATGTTCACTAAGTTTTCCTGCTGTGCCAGCACATTTATTAGCGTGAACAAACACTGATATGGCATCTTTGAGTAAGGTGCTTGACATTCAGATATTTCTTAAATGAACTTTGCTTTTCTCCTTTGAGCTTCGAGTAAGGAGTTCATCTCCCCTTGACTAGTGAAAGCACAAATCAAGTAAATTTTTCTAAAATTTCAGCCAGCGCCTATATTGAGATTTTTTTTTTTTTTAACGCAAAGCTATATATAGATTAAGAACAATGTCTTAAACTTCTATCTTGTTGGTGCATTGATGGCAGATGTGATTTTCTTAATTGAGCCAAAAATCGGTTCACCTTACATCCTCACTTGTTCTGAACTTCTGATTTGCAGTCAAAGATGAAAAGAGGAAGTGGAATTTCATATTCATTTTCAAATGTGGCAGCTGCCACTCCAACTGTTACAGGTGTTTTTTTTTTCCCCATCCTCTTGTGATTCCAACTAACTAGGTCTTATTGGGATTAGATACAGTGATTTCAACAAGTCCGTGCAAAAAGATGGTAATGATGCATGGCGATATACTTAAAATAATTTTTAAGAAACCCTTCTTTTATTACTTCATATTACTGTCTGCATGATTTCATCATTTACTAACTTCATGGTGGTATCATCTGAGTTCACGTCCTTTTACAAATCAATATGGCCCATTGATGTGAATCCCGGCATCTCGCGCATCTGATAACGTTGGGATTTTAAAATGTAGGCAGCGGGAAAGAGGGAGCAAATTCTGCTGGATGCATTGATGTAACTCCTACACATGTGACAACAGTGGGGTCTGGGTCATTGTCTGGCCACAATACCGCTAATTCAGTAATTTTGCGTTCTCCCTCTGATGAGATTCAAAAGAGTCTATTTGATTCTCCCCAACTGCAACATTGCAACGCCATGGCGGAAAGGAGCAATTCGATGACACTTGAAGGAGATCCGTAGAGCTTGACTTCATATGAATAGAATGCATCCAATTACTGGAGTGGAAGATGTCCTGTCACTCCAGGGAAAAGCATGAACAGTATCGTGTACAATTTGTAGATCTTGCTGTGATATATAATTAAAATGTAAATAATGTATCAGAGTTATACGCTTATGTCTTAAATAGACCACACCATCGTATTTGAAAATGATGGCTGCAGCTTTCCTTGTGGTTGCAACGTCCTCCAATTCTTCCTTATTTTCCCTTTTAATTTGTTATGTGACATTAAAGAGAATTAAGAGAATATATCTAGGTATTCTGTTTTTGTTATTCTATCTTCCTCTGAAAATTTGCGCGTCGGCCGCTGAACTGGTTGGCATTTCGCAGTCCAACTATTCAGACACTTGTTTCCTAGTAGTACGAACCAAAATGTCCTGTCTGAACATGTATTACTTGATGGATAGAATGGTTACTGTTTTAAGTTTGCCATAAATTTATCAGCATCTGATGCCACTCCGAAGAGGCAGCTATAGTAATGTATAACAAAATGGGCTCCCTGCCAATCTGAAAAATGACTCTCGGGGCTGCAACAAAAAATGAATTATTCTCCCACTCATCTATATAATATAATAGAATAAACGCCATAACGTGTTTTCAGGGGTGTACAAAAAACCACAAGAAATATTATTTACGCTGCTATTTTGGCGATGAGGCTTTCTTCTGTACAGAGTATATTCGAGTATCATACAGTGTCCCCACTCTCCAGGCGATTGTGATGCTACTTCAATTTGGAACAGCGGACAGAGTCTACAAAGTCGTCCCTTGCAGCAAAAATGAAGATGTTATTTGAGCTTCCCAAAAGCCAGTGGAAACTACAAATCCAAATAATTACTTAAATTTAAGTTGGTCGCTTCATTCTGTAACTTTGTTAGGGCTTTCTTTTCTATCCTCCTCACCCACTCCTTACTAACTTGGAAAAGCCTCCCAATTTCCTCAAGAGACCTGGGCTGGTGATCATTAAGACCAAAGCGTAGAGCTAGCACTTGCTTTTCCCTTGGTTCCAAGTCATTCAGAAGATCATGCATGTGTTTTCTCATCTGCTGCTTCATGACAGCTTCTTCAGGGCTCCCTACTGACGCATCGGGGACGAGTTCCTGAAGCATGGATGTCAGAAAATAGATTACACCCGATAACAATATCTAACGGTACGGGATAATTTTCATGAGTTCATAATGTTTCATTTTTTGTTAGGTTGACCACATTAAAGTGTAAAAATATCTCGAGATGGAAAACTTGGAACGACCTCCAGCATTCTATACTTTTATGAGAATGTCGTTAGGCATTAAAAAAATAATGAAATACTAAAAATGGACTTCTGAGGTAAGCGCAGTCAATAGTCATTCTCAGCGGATGAAATGAATGTTCAAACTGATGTCCCTGAACAGAAAAGCCAACAGTTTCACCTGGCAAGGCTCACAGAACATGAGCATGAAAAGATGCACGCTCGACAAAGTCTCAACGAAGCAAAAAAGACTTTAAACTAACAACAACAGTCTTTAGATATATATATTTTCATGAATCAAACATCTCCCAAGATCAAGTACAGATGTATTGAAGAAAACAACACCAAACAGAACCATACACTCTGTTCAGCACAATGTTTCTAATTTTCTATTAGTTGACGTGGAGCAAAACAGGTTTACCTCAGATTATTAGACATATTATCTCTTTACCCTGAAATCCTAGGCTTGAGACACAACAATGTTTACTACTAAGAGAACCTTTTCCCATACATGCTCCGCATGTTTTGCATTTTAATTTGCTTGGGGATCTTATTGTGAGAAATCAATCATATATTGAACGCAAAGTTCTAATTTTTCCTTTTCCCCTTTCTATGTTGGCCCAAAGGCACGCAGCCCTTTTCTTATACTGCCAGTGTAGATGTTAATAATTATGATCATGATGAAAAGAGATTATAGGGAGAACTTCAACACGTACCATGTATTTTACACTAAAGCAGTCCCCTATCTTCTGATTAATTGAACCGACTACTCTCAGGCAATTGTGAGCTGATCTGATTTTATCCACGGAAAGACCTGTTATCTTTGCGATTTCATAATCATCTGAGTATTGCATCGCAGTACTTTTCAGGGATTTTTGTGCTTTCTGTATCTGATTTATTGCCTTGCTCAATGACCACTAAGAAGAATAATGAAGGAGAAGGAACACAAGGATCAAATTTCAAGATTTTTCTGGCAGGAGAGATGAGATCGGTACTAAGAAATAATCTCTTAAACAAAAGAGACATACAGGAATTAAGATTCCCCGGGCATATCGCGCAACCATTCTTGACATCGATTTCCTTATCCAATACTGCACATAGGTTGAGAATTTGTAGCCTCTTGTACTATCAAATCTCTCTGCACCTTGGAGAACACCCACGTATCCTGCCTATAAAATATGCGAAAGAAGACATACTCAACTGAGAAGCTAGCTAGAGTGTTAATATAAGAAAAATTATATCCGCAAGCAAAGTTTCATTATAATCAAATAATTGTCACTGTTAGTCAACTTCACGAAAGCATTGATCAAAGCATCAAATAAAGTAGCACCCATGACTTTTTTTCCAAGTGTTTTGTCTTATAAACTATGAAGCAAGATAGTGAAGCACAACTGACATAATGACATATCAATAGTTCTAGCAAAATGGCCTTACTTTGTGTGAGGGTGTCAACAGTTCAAGATGTTTGAATAAGATAACAGAAACCAAATGCTCCTATAGACCGTAGTTTATATCATGAGTAAACATGTGGGTAGAAGGTCAAAGAAGAAACTCATCCTCAAAAATAATAAATTAATAATTATAAACAAACTACTCAAAGTAACGTTTGGAACACACCTGAAGTAAATCTTCTGATGCGATTCCCATTCCCTTGTATTTCTTGGCAAGGTATAGAACTAAGGATCGAGTACTCCTTATAAGCTCATCTCGACAATAAAGGCCATAATGCAGATGCTGCCACAGCCTCTTCTCATCAACTCCAGCTGCTTCTGCCCAGCTCCTTAAGGTTACTACTTCAGTGGTATCCTCTTCCATTGCTGCTTTAATTCTCTCCAACCCTATCAGAACCTACAGAGGCACAAAATTTTAATAATAACCAATTTTCACAAGCATGCAACAAATGCACTCCATTCTCTTCACAATAAACCAACCTTTACTGCTGTTGACATTTCCGCTTCCTTTTTAGCAACTATTGCTCTCCTGTTTCTATTATTCAATGTTCTTTTTACAGATGAAGCTGGTAGGCCTAAGAGACCGTCCTCAATAGGTCCTGAAGGCAATGGTTGAGATAAAACCTTCGAGGAAGTTAATGCTCCCTTCCTTCTTGGTTTATTTTCTTTTCTCCTAGATCGGACAACAACTTTACCCAAGTGGTAATCTGCCTTGCCATTTGTCTTATGCTCACAAACTTGCTCAGGATGTTTGTCACAGAAATCCAAAAAACGTGAGGTTTCAAAAGATCCTGACAGACGAGAATTGAAAAACTCTAGAGCTCCAAGCTTTCCTAGTTGCATCATGATATCTTTCTCCAACCTTAGCACTTCAGAATCAGAAAAAGTTTCTTCTAAAACATCTAGGTTTTCCATTAGCAAACGAAAATGTGATGCCTTGAATGACTGGAAGCTTGTAGAAGTTGTAAATGTCTCCTTCCCAAAAGGCATTTGGGTATTATCAATCATTTCATGAACACTATTCAAAGATTTCTTTCCTTTGTTCACCTAAGAAACAGGAGTTTTTATTATATTGCAAGTAGCTAATGATAGAAAACAGCATTAGGCATGAGTACTGCAAATCTGCAATAAAATAAGGGTTGTCATACAGGATAATAGCTAACCTTGATTTCTCCATCTTCCAAACAATCATCATGTAGGGTTTCCAAAACTGAAGATGAACAACTGGATGCCCTTCGAAAATCATTTTGGAAAGTTTCTCTTTCCTCATAAATGGTTGACAGCCAAGATAACCTCGTGGGATTGAAAGAAGCTTCCCTGCCTCCAGCTGAATCATATTTATCGTATCCAAAAGTTAAAATAACAGAGGCAAGCACAAACACTGTCACTAAAAAATGGTTGGGTTGATCAGGAATCGAAACTAGAAATAGCAAAGTATTCCTTCTTTATTTTTTTTTGGCAACGGACGACAAACATAGTTACATACTTGAACGCCAATAGGCAAATCTATACATGAGATTATCAAGCTGCTTCGGAAATTGGAACCAGAAAACAAAACGTTGTACAGCCCAGGACTTGACGCGTAAACTGAAGAAGAAATCATTTTTTATTTGCATCATCAACAATACCAAAATGAAGTACAAAAAACTCTAAGAAGTGGACGGTATAGAATAGAACTAACCAGAAGACGAAGAAAGCCTGATTGGTGAAGAAGTGAAAGAATGAGGAGAATGAGCAGGAACACTACAACCGCTGAGATTTAGCCTAAAACCAAAATTCATGATGTTTTCTGAATATCAGCAGTGCAGAGTGGAATGGAGTCCATGAAATGTTCGATAATACTACAGTCTACAGAGATGGCATATCAAAAGTATGGATATGGCTCTGCTGTCACTCCCACCACCAGTTGTTCCTCTCCTTTGCCCTGGCTGGAATATTTTTTTTGCTTCTTTTTTCTTTTTTTCTTTTTCTTGTAACTAATCAGGGTGATCATACATGCAGAGACGCAGAGGAAAAAAAAGAAAATAAAATAAAACTCGTACATTGCAGCCATGATGCGAGGAAAAAAGCATTTGAAGGCAAAAAAAAAAAAAAAATCCGGCAGTTTAATCACTAATGTTATCGGTGTTGTTACTTTTTTGGCCGAAATTAAAACGATAATCCTGTGGAAGATTTAATACTGATGTCAAATATGGAACATAAAAATATTGGAAGCAGAATAATTTATTTTGGGCTGGTGCAGAATACGATTTCTACTTTAGTTTGTGTAATGACTAATGACCATAAATATTAGTTTTTATTATAAAAAGGAAAACAGTTTTACCAATACATATTGTTTCACTCAATTTTTAATTTAAGTTTTTAACGCTAACCACTTTACACATTATAAATTGAAAAATAGCCTGAGGAACTTACAAAGCAAAACACGCCACTAACTTTGAAAATAAAAAATGAGGCTTCAAGGCAATTAAGGATCTCAAGTAGCGATATTTGTTGCGATCAATGCTCTCTCTGTTTAGCAGAAAGTCATGGGGATCTTCGTGCAACTGTGCAGTCTGCAATTGCCAAACAACATGGTGATCTTCGTTCACCTGCGATCTCCACCGATTTGACTAGGAACGACTTCTCTGTCACTGTTTTTCCGGTACAACTTCATCTCTCACCATAATTTAGGAATTCAAACAGGCTGCTTATTGCATATTTTGGGGATCAAAGCATTTGCTTGCAAGAGATGGCTGCTTAACTATCTTCTTGAATTCTGTCTGCAGTTGGAACTTTTGGTTACTAAGAATCTTATTCATGCAAATTTAAATTAGATCCTTATGCTATTACCACACATGGCAATGAGAAGTGATTCAAATGTGAATAACTATATGTATATTTTAGCATATGTTCATGATACGGAACGTGTTTGTGCTACTATTAGTTTGATGGTTTGAATTATGCTTGTACTAGTAAATGCTTTAGAAGAAGCAATGTTTTCGAGAGTAGTTGCTACAATAACACTTTTGGCATGTAATAAAGCAAAGATGATTCATATGAAAGGTTTTTAGTTGTTGTGACCTAGGTTTTAGCAGACATTACATTTCTATTCGACTAGATTTGAGTTTAATCAATTCTAAATATTTATTTTATGTGACAAACTAGTTTGTACAAAGAGTTTTAGATTATGTTAAGATTTTTTTTCCCACTTGCTTGTTCAATTTGAGGCTTGTAATATTCTACCTTTTATCAATCATGTATTTTCCTCATTTTCTTTATAGGATGCAAGGATTCTTATTAGATAAATGAAATTATTAAAGTATTTCTAAAGATGGTTCTCCCTCCTTCAAACTACAAGCAGTTGTCGATGAAATGAAGAGATCTAAATGCTAGATCAAATCACCTAAAATAAGAAGTTGAGGGCATAAAGCAAAAGAAAAGGCACTTCAAACAACAAAATGAGAACATGGAGTGAGAGGTTGAAGAGAAATTTAAAAAACTTGAAGACTATGTTTTTTTATTGTGGCTGTTGTTTCAGATTCATTATATCATTCCATATTATAACCCAAATTCAACAAATGTATAGACTTAGAAAAAAAGGTAGCAGAAAGGAGACTCAATAGAAAAAACATGTAAGAACAGTAACGCTAAAAAAAGACGCGTACATACATGTAGAAGAAAACTCACGAACCCATGTAGAAGAGAGTAGAACAAGAAAACAAAATGCCTTCAAATCTCTATTTGAATATATAAATCGAATTAAAATAGTAGAGATCAATCAAGATCGTTGTTTAATATAGCAAAAAAATGCTTTGGAAGCCCAAGTCTATGGTGCCATCTTCCTTTCATGCTGCAAAGAAAACAAAGGATGCACTGCCTTCAAAAACACTTGTGTGTTTTTTGTTTTTCTCTTAACATTTCTTAGTTAACGGCGTTGGCCGCTCCGTAAGCTCCTCGGTCGATTTCAAAATGTGTACGAGCTAACTTGTTTAACAAAGGAACCAAAGAGAGTAAATAAAAGAGGGGGGAAAAAATATGCATCGCATTAAAAAAATGAAAGAAGCAAAATGGTTTCCCTACTATAATTTTAGTTTTTTGAATTGAGTTTTCCAATTTAATTTTCTTTTAAACATTTCAATTGTTACACATTTTTTCCAAAGCAAACCCTTGGTCTCATCGGATAATTTAGGAAAATTAAGATTTTTATCTATAAATAGCTTTTCATTTTGGTCTTCAAGCAAAATTCTTCCAACTTTTTTTTTTCATCGCCTCTACTCCTCCCAAATACTTTTTCTTTCGGATACCTCTTTACAAGTTCTGAGCCATGACAATATGGCATTTGGTTTGGGAGCACGCCTCAGCAGATGAACGGTGTGCGGCCGTGCGGGTGCGGCTATTTTTTCTGAATCTGATTTTTCATTTTATTATTTTATTTTCATATTTTTAATTTGAATTTTTATAATTATTTATTATAAAATGAAATTATTTTATATTCTGAACCATTCACAATAAATATATTATTAAAATCTAATCTAAAATAAAAAGGTTATGTCTGCTCAAATATTTGTATTCTTTGAACGGTCTTGATGACGGTGCACACTTTTAACTTTTTCTTTCAAGGTTTGCAGCAGGTCTCTTTTACGAATTGTAACACTTGCCCCGAGGGTTATCCAAAAATCACACAATTCAAATAAACTAAGTGTGGTTAAGGAGTTAATCTTAAAACCAACTTAGGAAACAAACCATTTAAATCACTAAGCAAATATACGATTGCAAAGTAAACATTTAAAACCTTAAAAAAATTATAGGTTCTAACTATAGCGTACGGAAGCAAGTTAGATGAAAGAGAAATAAAAAGATACTGTCATGACAGCATTTAAATTGCTGTCATGACAACCCTCCCGAGTCAACTTCTGGGAGGCGTCGTTCCGCCATCCGACCTCTGATCGAAGTGATTTTAAAGCTCATACGTCACATTCAAAGGGTACTATAAGTATACCAAATTTCAAAAAGATCCAACGGTTGGATTGAAAATTAGACATGTAAAAAAAATAGTTATTTTTGCTGTCATGACAGCTAAAAAGCTATCATGATAGCACTTCCGGACCAACTTTCGGAGTGCACCATTTCATCATCTGATCTCCGATCGGAGTGATTCCAAAGCCCACATGTCACTTTTAAAGAATACTATTAGCATACTAAATTTTGAAAAAAATCCAACGGACGGATTGAATTTTATGCAGGTTACAACATCAATACTGTAGCTGTCATGACAGCAATTTAATGCTGTCATGACAGCACCTCCAGACCAAATTCCGAAGTGCGTCGTTTCTCCGTCTCCGATATCCGATCGATGTGATTCCAAAGCCCACACGAAGCTTGTAAAAGGTTTTATTTGTGACCCAAATTTTAGAGAAATCCAACGGTTGGATTAAAATTTGAACACCCGGATGCAAAAGTGCAGCTTTTTGATAAAAACCATTTTCAAAATTGTCCAAATCTCATCCTAATGGTCACAAACCTGTGGGAACACTTTGGACACGTCAAATAAGACTAAAAACACCTGAAAAAACATTCAAATGATGGAAAACCCCCATACATCAAAATTTGACCACCCGGGTGCCATTTCCCAAAATGGACCCTAAACCCCCAAAATGCACAAATCATACAAGGGTGGTCACAAATCAATCTAAATACCATGTATTTATATAAATACATATGCTAAATATTTTCACTTGGCTCAGAGCTCCTTGTGGGGCCCACGCACCCACTCTCTCTATCCAAGGTGTATGTTTGCCTATAGCACACCATTTGCAATGCAACCACTTTGCATTTGCTTATAAAATCACATATATATCAAAATAAAAATCTGCTTGTAATAGAAACTTGGTCTACTAAGTAAATCCATCAAAACCACACACCATAACCAAGTTTCCTAGCCACAAGTCTGCAAACAGACAAAAATTCATACACAAGCACACAATCCACACATATTCACACACACATACATAATCATATCCTACTGGCACCCTAATCTTAAATACATTACAATATATTTGCTCAAAAGAAAGGGGTTGCAGTTCTTTACAAATCACAAGCAAACCCCTAGCTTTGCTCCTTTCCTCGTCCACCACTGGATCCCTCGCCTGGACCTAGAATATTGAAAAGAAAGGGGTGAGACAACCACAGTCTCAGTAACAGCGAAATTTACATTGATTATTACAAAGTAAGCCATAATCAAATAAACGAATAATAAATTCAACATAGTATATAATTTAGCCATTTAAAATGCATGAATGCATGACCTAGGCCGGTATGGCCTTTCATGACCAACAGAATGCCCCCTGGCACTCTTTAACTCGCAGGTAAACCTTATACCTACTTGTACCTCCACAGACACAAAACATAATCTAAGGCATGATCTAATCCACCGAACCGCCTATGCCCCTTCGACGTGAATCCTGAGCAGTCAAAGCTAACTCCCTCCCAGAGCTAGCCCGACTTACTCTCCATGTGAGAGCTACCTTGGCCTAGGCACTCAACCTCACACTTCATATGTCGGATTCCCTCCCCTATTGAGAGGTGTCGAACACTCAATACACTAACCACTTTAGTGCACTGAGCCCACAATACGTAAGACAACACTGAGTACTGACAGTGTGCCATAGAATATCAAAAATCCACACCTTCTCATTGGTGAACTCCCACCGAGATCATGCCTTTTACTCTTGTCTATCTTTCCTGAGTATTGACCATTCAACACTCTAAAGTAGTATAATATTTATAAATCTCATTTCCATAAAAACATTGTTATTAAACAATTAGAAAACATATTTACACTATAATCATAGTAGTACCCTATAACCCTTTATAAAGCACATTTAATCTTTTAAAACATGTAATGCATGATAAGTAGTAATATTTATTCAAAAATAGCTAAAACAAAGTAATAAGAAATATAAATTCCCCTGTTACCTCAACCCTTTGGTACCAAAAGGGTTCTCCTTGTACAAAATAGGGCTCGGCTTGTTCCTTACTTCTCAATAAGTTCCACCAACAATTTTCTACAACATATAAGTGATCCACATCACTTATCATGACAAATAGCATCAATGAAGACTATAACTCATACCACACAACTTGGGTCTATGAGCCATAATCCATCCCAATGGTCCATATATTTAACCAACCATTCACATAGTATCACTTAACCACCAAAACCATTTATTAGCCATCATTAGGCTAATTTCCAATTTATATAATTTTTTATCAATTAAAAACCTTCACTTAGTGTCACCAACTTTCACCATTAGCCCTTATAATGAAAACCAAACATTAATTTAAATCTTATTGGGCTCAAATAGCAAAATTATAACTAAATCAATAAGCTTAAACCATTGAAGAGCAAAAACCCAATTTCTCAGGATTTATTTTGTGTCCAAAACACCTCTTTTCATCCAATTATCCACTCAAAACATTAGATCATTATATAGAAACTCAAAACATGCTCCCTAGGATCCAAAGAAACAAAAGCTTACAAGAATAAAGCCTTTGGGATCAAAATCCAAAAATCTCCTCTTCCAAAAATTGAAGAAAATCAAGAGAAAGAGAAGAGGATTGAAGTAGGGAGTTTACCTATCGTGTAGCCGAGCTCGCAACGGTCGTAAAGACTCCTAGATCCAAGCCTAACTCCCTCTCTTTCTCCTTTCTTCTTCCTCTCTCTCTCTCACTCTCCCGTTTGTGCGTTTCCTTCCCTTGTTCATTTTCTGTGTTTTCTGCATCTGTTTGCTCTTTAAAATGCTGGTCAAAAATTTTGGGGAAAATTACAAGAAATAGCCCAACATTTTTTATTATTGCACAAAAGCCCGGGTCAACTTTGGTAATTTTTCCATAGTTAAAAATCAAATAAAACCAAACTTTTGCTTGGTAAAATTCAAATTCTGGGCCTCTATTAAATTATTCTAAATTTTAATTTAATTATAGATATTTTATTTTATTTTTATTTATTTTTTTTATAAATTTGAGTCTTAAAGTTTTTAGGATGTTACACGAATCATGTGGGCTGAAGCCATGAGAGTGTGGAGCCTTTGTTTTTGCTATATTTTATTTCTGTATTTATTCTTTTTCCCATAGTTTATATATTTTTTAAAACTTTATTTTATTCTTATTTATTTTAATTTCTTTGAAAAAATTTGGGAAAGTAACAATTAGGTCCAGAAATATTGAATTGATGATACTTAAGCTTTCAACAATTTTTTTTGAAAAATATCAATTTAGATAATTGTATATTTAAGAGTTTCAATTGTAAATAAATATTTAAGTATGAAATATAACTCTTAGATTATAATAGAAATTTTTACTAATAACTATTTAATTTAATATTTATGATTAATTTTTTCAAAATTTTTGCTGAAAACTGAACTATCATTAATTTAATATTTTAAAATTTAATTGTCATTCTCTTACGAATTCTCATCTCTGTAATATAATATACGGGAAAAAAAATTCAGTTAAAACCCGGTTCCATTATATACAATCCTTAGAAGTTAGAACGACAGGCGCAACATTTTTTTTTTAAAGAAAATGAATTTGAATGCAACAATTTTCATTTTTTTGATAGATGGTTGCTTGTAAATATAAAAAATAAGAATAAAATATATTGACTTTCTTTCTACCATCGCCTTTCTGTTTTATAAAATATATTGAAGCTCTCATAGAATCAATTGTTTTAACACACAATTTTTTTTAAATTTTAAAATTTTACTTTCATTTACTCAACTATTAGCTAATCATTGATCAAAATATCCTCTTTAAATATATATGTTATTTAGAATTAAAAATAATTCATATATATATATATATATAAATATTTAAAATTTTTTCGTTTTACAAACTTATTTATTTTAGTAATTTTTAAAAATATAAAATATATAAGTTGTTTAAAATAATAATTCAAACACGTATGTAAAAAAATTAATGAAATAGAAATTTAATATATAATAAGACATAAATTTTTAAATATAATTTATTTTTATTTTTATTTAAATTTTATTAATTTGGACACGATATTTTTAAATTACTTATTTTAATATTGTTATACTTAATTACTTAAACTTCCTTTAATTGGAGGGGAAGAGAGTAGACAATTAGATTATAGCGGACAAAATAATAATGTTAAGTCTTTTGACATAATTAAAAATAAAAAATTAATGTATTTTAAAATTTTCAATGAAATATTTTTTACAATACTAAAAATTGAATTAACGTGTATGTTTTTGAAAATATAATAGAGCTCCATCTAATTTTAACAAAATAAAAGGTAGGACATTGTATTTTTCTCAAAAAATAGATGGAAAGTATTGTTTGTTTTTATTATTTGCCTAATTTTTTTTTTAATGAACGAATAGAGTGAAATCGAGAAGGGGATGATGATTTATATACTTAGTGTTATATATTTAATATATTTTTATCTAATTAAATTAAGATATGTGAATTTTAATGTTTTAATAGTATTAATAATAAAAATTTGTTATATAATAAATAAATTTTAAAAGATACACATGCCTTAATTTAATTTAAAACAAACACTTTAAGTATATTAAGTATATAAGTTTTTCCCAATCAAAAAAATAAACATACTCAATGCAGGGCCCAACTAAATAATCAGTTGCATTGCAAGAAATTGCATGTCATCTAATAAGGGTGAGCAAAAACCAACCACGCCGAACCAACCGAAATCAATTCAATAAAAATTAAATAAAATTAGTTATTAATAAGGCTTGATTTGATTTTATAAATTTGAAAACTGTACGAATGGTTTGGTTTTGTTTTTTTTTTGTTTGTTTTTTTGAAACCTTGACCAAACATGAACTGCACATCTTATATTTTCAATGTATTTTTGTTGGAGGACTAGCTCTCTGGAGAACAAAAGAAGTAGAGTTGAAGGAGAAAGTTGCACATATCGTCTTCAAACCATGGGTAGCGTTTTTTTTTTTTAGGCTTAATTGATTCCCACCTATTTCAATCTTTGAGTATAAGTTCGATTGATGGTGAATTTCTTTCGAAATACAATGAATACCTTTGAATAAGGTATACAGTTTACACCATGATTTTTACAAAGCAATAGTTTGATTTTATCTTTAGTGTATTCAAAGAATAAAGACAATGGATTTTAATGGTTAGATATACAAAATGAATGGTGAAGAGAGGTATTTATAAATACTAAAATGGTACCTTTTAAATAATAAAACTCTCCTTAAAAGTTATAACCAATATTAGTTTTACAAAATGAATGTTAGTTTATGAGCAACCCTATATTGATTTGTAAACATCTTTATATTGATTCATGAACCTATATAATTTAATAATTAATATTAACCAACAGTTATTTATAATAATTTTTCATAAAAAGAAACATCCTTTTAATATGTAAAGTTTTCTTGAAATATACTTCCTTTTTTATCAAGTGACACATTTTAGTTTCATAACCCTCCAAATGTTTCTTTAGAAAACAAAGAGACGTGACTTTCTTCTATATAGTCTTTTATAAAAATTTCTTAATTTATAAAGACATGATTTTTTTAAAAAGACATCTCTTCATTTTAAAAATATAAAAAATGTTATGGTTGTGTTTATTTTTAAAAAATTGTAACTTCAACTAAAGATCAACCTAAACCAAAAATGCTTTAATAAAATTCATAAACCTTCCTTTCTAAATTTTTCTATTACAAAGTCAAGTGTATATATTTTGTGTTACTTCAAGAATGATTTTTTAGATAATTTTAGATATAGAATTTCTCTTTTTTTTATTGGGTTAAAAATACAAATTTATTCTTGAAGTTTTTATGCAGATACATCTGATATTTTCGAAAAAATTTGATATAATGTCACCCTAAATTTTTTTAAAATTTTTTGTACAATCTCGCCTTGAATTAACAGATTTAAACTTTTATCATTAATTTGACCATTAAATGTTTCCTTGGCTTCTCCGTGTAAGTTCATGTCATTTTTTATTCACTTTTTCCCCTTCCTTCCAACCTTTAAAGCCATGCGGACATCTTCCCTTTATGTCATCCCTTCTCCAGCTTCCTCCGTCTCTTCTCTCCCCCACCCATCTCTCTCTTCTTCACTTGACCACTGTTGTTGATCCAATAAACCAAAGCACTTGGGAAATCCTTCATACCAGATTGAGAAACCAATTTCAATTGTTTGCATGTCCTCAATCTTCACTTCACATGAAAGCAACGAAACCTCCTTAAAGGAGTCGCTCATTTTGAACCAATCTTCATCATCTAGGTTGCGAAGAGAGAGATGCGATGAACATGATGATCTAGAATATTATGGACAATAATAGAGAGTAAATCTAATTCTCATTAATTGAATTGATATGCAGGAGTACAACTCATAATTGTAGACACTTAATGACTAATGACTCAGATGAACACGTGTCTGTAACTGCATAACCAACTTAACAATTGTTTAACAACTTATAACAATCTAACTGATAGATATATCTGACACGGCGCAAGCCTAGGCGAGCTTAGGTTGAGATCTGGGTTGCAGACACGGAGCAGGTGTAAGCAAGCTTAGGCTGAGATTTGGATTGTTGATTTTGATCCAGATACACTTTATGTTTGTTTTAATTTTATTTGGGTTGTCGATTATATTTGATCTGACTATATTTATTTTTTATTATTTCTAGTTTGTATTGATTGTAGATATGAGTTTGTTCGATTATGATTTGTCCTAGATTTAGATATTTTGACTTCGGGGGTAGGGATTCTGTCGGGGTATTCTTCTTCAGGTAGCGAGAAGAAGATGAAATGCGAAGAGAACAGGTATTCTTCAAGAAAGCTGATCTGGGACGTTATAGTTCGCTTGGATTGAAGGCTTTTCTTGAAGCTTGAAATGAACTCAGGATCTGCGAGTTTGAAGCTTTTCTTGATGTTTTCTCCTAAGCCGAAACTCTCCCAAATTTTTCATTTATATTTATCTCATATTCTCTTGCACAAATCAGCGTAAGAATCCAAGGTGTTAATCCCTGTTACAAGGTGCTTACAATTTCTATGCTTAAATTGAATTGTTCAATTGATATTGAGATAACCAAAGAATTATGTTGTGTTCTTGATAGGTTTGATTGTTTTAGCTTGATTGTTATTCTATTTGAATGTCAGGTTAGGATAATCGCTTGGCTGGGGTCTAGGTTTGAAGATTGATGATAAAGTTGATGAACTTTGAAGAAGATGAAATTTAGGTTTGAAGATTAACATCCTATTTAAAGATGATAAACTTATAAAAGAAAATATAAATTTAGATTCATGTATTTTACTCGCATTTTACTATTAGTTTGTATATTTTTTTTATTATTTTTTATCCATGTATTTTTGTTTTCATTGTTTTAGAAACCTTAGAGGGACCTAAAACAATAAAAAATAAAAGTAAAAGGATTAAAAACACCAAAAAAAAGTATAGGAGCTAATAACAAAATACAAGTAAAATATAGAAATTTAAAGTTATGTTTTTCTAACTTATAATAATATAATTGTTGATGATTTTCATTTGGCATTGGGTCTTTTTTTGTTTTCTAATTTTTAATTTTGAAAAACATTCACGCGACTGTCAAAATCAAATTGGGATTAACTATCAAACTGATAATTAATTGGGTCAAATTTGATGGCAAGATAACATTATGTCATTTTTTTAAAAATGTTAAAAGTGAAATTAAACTAAAAAATAT